CAGACAATATATTAGATGCACGACTATTGTTCATCAAGAACATGCAAGCCTCTATAATCTTATCCAACTCAATGTTCAGAATTTAGTTGAATTGAGATTCACTCAGTCTTGATTTGATCTAACTTTCTCTTTCCAGAACTTGTATAGAAATCAATAAGTGATTTATTAATTATGCCGTCTTCCTTGTTTTCTGTTGTTGGCTTGAAAGACCAATCACTTCTACCTTGGATGATTGTATCCTTACCAATGCCTTACACTTCAAAATCAGTGACCAGTATCTTGAATCAATAACTTGCCATTTTCCCTGCATTACTGAATTCTAACATATTGAATGTGGAATGGATCTTTCGTATCAACTTATGTTCATTAGCACATAATGTGTTATAATCCACTTTGATTTGCAGATATGTTAATGTGTCTATATTACAAAATAATCATTTTAGATTTTTTGTATTTATCTGTAGATAGCACGCCATATATATAACAAGTCTCCTTTCATAATTCGCAGGCATCTACATTTGTTGTAGTCATCCGATATTTATAGAGAACTACTGTATTCATTTGCAAGCTAGCTCCATATCCATAGCAGACTGTTGTACGCATCTATAAGCAAGTGCAGTCCTTTGATTATTTGTGGGACTATGTTTCTTGTATATGACCTCTTGGTGTCATTGAGAGTTTGTATGTCAGCTTGTGTTGGTTGTAAGAGAGTCATATTTCGACTTGAACTTAGTATGCAATCTTCAAGCATTTCTTCTTTGCACTACCACTCTCTTTCTTTACATATGCATATAGGAGATATTATCATTTACATACGATTGACCAAAATATTTTGGCTAGCCATTGAATTGCATTTGGAATTACTTGATCAGCACAAGCTTCATGCTCATTTATATCCACTTGAATGATTAAGATTCGCTTTCAAATTGAAGTGACGATCCCGTTATGAAATTGATTGCTCAAGAAATCATTCATCTTCAATTAGGGTTCATATTCAAGTTCATGCCAAATCCGTTTCATTTTTTTTTTTTTTTTTGAAGAAATGCAAATTGCATTAAAAGAAGAAAAACCTAATACAACCTAGAAAATAAAAGCAAACAAATCCGTTTCATGTTCAAATTTATTTAAAGTCTTGCCCATTTTGTATCCAAGTTCCTTGTTGATGATTATTTACAATCAAATGAGGGTTTAATTCATATGAAAAATTCTTGCTACGAGTCCCTCATTTGCATGTGAATAATTCTTTTGGAATATTGTCCACCACAAGTCATTGCAGTTCATATCCAAGTTAAAGATCAAGTCCTTTGCAATCAAGTTGCAAGTCCTTGTTTGTACTCAAATTGTTCAAATTATTTCTTCTTTATATTCAAGTGGAGTCATGTCTTATGGTCCACATTCAAGTTCACCTTTGCTTGTTCAAGATCAAAATTCAAGTCCACTTCATTGTTCAAATTGAGTTAATGCTCCTTGCAGTTGTCCTGAGTTATTGTTCACATCTTTATGATCATTCAAGTTCAGTTATCCTTAGTCAAATAATTCGAAGTATTTTGTTTGATCACTTAGTTCATTTAGTATTCGAAATCAAGCTTAATTTAGTCCTCATGTTGTCCAAATTGAGTTCAATATCAAGCCCAGGTACAATCATATTCACCCGAAATTTCAGTAGCCTCCTGGCGTCTCCCCCGTTTAGGGGAAAACTATGGAAAACTGGGCCTCCCGCCACGCTAGAGAAAAGCGTGTACAGTAGGTGCCCTCGTACGAGGACACCACGGCTGTAAAATCTTTTTCCCCACCACGCCAGAGAAATGCCTGTATGGGTCTTCGGTACCTGTTACAAAAGAGAAGCAATTATTTCCCCACGAGCGGGTACTTATGAATATCTCGGTCTCGCCGTAGGCGCCGCACCGGGTTCCCATCCCATCACGCTAGAGAAAAGCGTGTATGAGCGGTTTGTCGGCTTGACACGGATGTCGAGAACAGGATTTTGGAGCCGAGCGGTCAGTCACCTACCTCGTCGCAGGTGTCGCGCCAGTTTCCCTTCCCACCACGCTAGAGAAAAGTGTGTATGGGCGGTTTGCCGGCTTGACACGCATGCCGAGGTAAGAGAGCACGAAAATCAAGACCACATTTTTTTTACTTCTTCTTTTCTTTTCTTCTATTTTTTTTTAGTACAAATCTCTTTTTTTTTATACACACAACCACATATATTTATATGTATGCCATATACATATATATAAATGTATATACATATACTTCCATTAACTGTAATAAAACAATTACTTACTCTAAACTAGTCATAGCAATCAGCATAACTGAATGGATGGGATAAACATTTACTGCTTATATCAATTTAGGTGGAATGTGGGCTAATTTGAGTTGTTTTGAGATTGGATGTTTTGATTCATAACAAAGTAGTCCACTAAGGTTGCAGGAAAACTGGAGCCCTGTAGCATGCTAAACTCCTCTAAAACTGTAATTAGAATAGAAGCTTAGTTGCTAGCTCCAAATCCCTTCATATTCTTGTTCAAAAGGGCAACGTGCGGAATCTTCTCCAAAATTCATGGCAAGTGCATCAGCATTCCTACCACTGCACTGTATAGTGAAGCTAAAAATTGCATTCTAACATCAGCAACAGCAATGAACCCGTCAATGTCTTCCGAAAAATTGCTGATATTGGGCCATCATTTTCAGAAGCAGTCAACTCCAACTCGACCTTCTCTTGGCCTTTCACAATAGCTTGCATTTCTTCAGCCAAGGATTTTAATTGTATCTTTGAAGCAGATTCCAAGCTAATAAGATCCTCATGAAAGTCAAGAAGATAAGATGATCTTGAAGCAATAACCCTTTGTTAGCATGATCTTAGTGCTATTTTCTCACCTAAGTTCAGTCAGGTGACTTTATCTGGTTTGGATCCAAGAGTTTTCCTCTTCTTATATGCTTTTGGGTTGCCATCTGATTTGCGCATGACTGCAGAGAAGAGACATTCCAGTTCCGACATATCAAAATCTGAAGCACTTCGAGCATCACAAAACTTTCTAATTCATCCCATAATCATCACAACTCTTGTTAATTTCACCCAGTGTAATGGCTTCAACGATGACCTGCGAGGTGCTTGTGAAGATAAGCCTGAGCCAATAGGACGTGAAATCCCTTGACCTCTTCCTATGGCCAACGAACTCAAGGTGCTGGACCTCTCGAGCCACTTGAAGTATTAGGAGTGCCAACTGGTGGTGGTGGATTTCATGACCGTCAGGAAGCATTGTTGGAGTGGAAAAATGTAGAGATCTGTACGTTAAGGTCTTCACATGAGAGAGAGATCGGAAGGGAGAGCTATTTGGCGAAAGGCTTGCATGAAGAGGAAGAGGCTTTGAAGATTGATGAAGACCTCTCTTCTTCTTTTTCTTTTATTGCCTTCTTATTTCTTCTTGGATGACCCTTTTTCCTTCTCCTAGCTTCTTCTTCTAACCTCACGGCTTGTTGGAAGAGAGAATCAGAGGAAAGAATGCTGTTGGGTGATATTAGATTTCCCTGTTTGGCATCTATTTCTTTATAGAATTTTTATTAAGTGTATTCTATATTAATGTTCAAGTCATTCATGCATTAATTAAGAATGACAAAACAGCATTAACGTGGTCAAAAACAGCCTTGATTTGCATGCTACTCTCTCGATTTGTGTGATGATTGCCTCGTTTTGCGTGTCAAATTCGTCAAATATCAAAATTAAACAAATTGACAATGCATTTAGGGTATTGTCGATGTTCCGATCGCAACAACGTATTCCGTTTTGCGATCGAACGTCGTTTGAGCAACGCCAAGGAAAATTTTTACAAGGGCCCATCTCGATTTGCATGCACAACCTCAATTAAACAAATTGGGAGTGCATTAAGAGTATTGACGGTGTTTCGAACATAACTACGCAGTCCGTTTCATGATCGGACGTCGTTTGAGCAATGCCGATGGTAATTTTTACATGGGGATGCCTCGATTTACGTGCACAACCTCAATTAAACAAATTGGCAGTGCATGTAGGGTATTGACGGTGTTCCGAACATAACGACGCAGTCCGTTCGTCAATCTGACGTCGTTTGATCAGCCTCGCATTTTAATTTCTGATGTCAGTCATCCCTTTTAACCGATCTCATCCGGTTCGACTGCGAGGGGCCTCGACCTAGCAGAATTCGATGTCCTGATCGCAACGGCATCATCCATTTGGCAAACGGAGGTCGTTTGATCCTTCAAGTGACACGTGGCACCAAGGCGCATATCACTTTACTCACCAGTTTGGTCTTTTCGCACGTGGTTTGAGGTATAGGAGTCAACATTAGATAGCTAACCTCATAGTCCAATAAGGATGCTCAAAAAAAGCTTGAAACTCAAAATAGACTCGATTCAATTCCGGCTCAATCTTGAGCACCACTATGGATTCAATTGATTTCCAGCCGATTTCAAGTTTGCTCCAACTAGCTAGGAAATAATTCAAGTCACTTAAAATTTGACTCAAAAAAGAATAATTATATATATATATATATATATATATATATATATACATATAATTTATATCAAATAAAGTTTGTATAATACATTTATATTCATGACTATAATTAACTAAAAATTAATATCAAATTGAATTTACTTTGAGTCAAGTGAATTCGTATATCAAATTGAATTTATATTCATGACTACAATCAATAAAGATTTTGATTTTGAATCGAGCTAACATCAAATTTTTGGATTTGAAGTTGAACCAAACACGCTCAAAGCCAACTTGACATAAACCATAGTCCAAGCTTGAGCATAGTCATCCATGCATGGCCTCTTGTAAGTTTCGAAGCCTCGGTTTTAGGGGGTCAAACAAGTTTCAACTTGTTTTCAGCAACGGGTGATCCCCAGAAAGCACCAGGCCTAGGCTGTTCATTGGTTAGCTCTATATGTTGAAGAAAGACAAACCCAATTAATCATTCTTACAACTAACTAGTACATATTATATATATGAAAATTACCTCCCATATTTTAACATACTTCGACTGAGTTTGCTGAACACCGGGAGCTTGTTGTGTTAATGGCAAGTTGATAGCTGTGTTATTAGTCATCCCAAGAGAATTCACGCTTGACTGCTGAGACATTCCCGGTGTAGGAATCATTGTCCCTGGTACAGAAGATAAACCGGCAGGTCCAAGCCCATTCATTATACTAGTTGTCATGTTAATTCCGCCTTGCCCTGTTTGGGCACTTTGTGTCAGGTTTCCTTGACCCATACCTTGTACAGACTGGCCCATACCAATGCTGTTCTGGAGATTAGTCAAAGCTGGTGAAATACCCATGTTTGAGTTTCCTGAAACTTGTGAATTGGCTGAAGTAAATGAACCAAGTGCTGTGTTCTGAGCAACCTGCGTCGTAGTCATCAATGCTCCTGACATTCCAGATGATGCCATTCCACTGGAAATCATATTTGACACGTGCATTACCATAGGTGTTACTCCAATTGTTTGAAGACCGATAGGGTTTGCTCCAGTGATAGAAGCAGAGTTCATTACTTCCCGATGCTGCGAAAGATTGTTCAAGATGCTCACATTGGCAGGGCTAACAGGGCGCAGTGTCTGCGACGAAAGATTCACCAATGGTTTATGTTCTGGCATGGCTTCACTGGTTATGTTCATCTCTTGTGAAGTAGGAGATGGAGAAGATGTTTGCAAGCTAGGTGCTACTTGGGAAGAAACACTGGATATGGGTGGTAGATGTGGATAGCCAGATCCAGAAACCATAGTTGGCACTGTAGTTGGTTCCTAGATAAAAATAAAAAATAAAAAATAAAAATAAATAAAAAAAAGTATGTTTCAATGCAGAACTTAAAATTAGTTACAATTTTAGAAATATAGTTTCTTCCAAATTAAATTATTCTGCCCTACCACTTTCACTGCTGCAGGAGGAATATTCCCGGAAGGTTGTTGTCGATTGATCATAGACCCATTAACTGGAAAAAAAAAACACTGAAATAGTCAGCTGATAAGAAAAAAAACAGTTGAATTAAATCCCCTAAATAGAACAGGGTCAATTCAATTGTTCACGGTAGAACCGGCAGGATAGTGAAAAAATGGGGATATCAAGCTTTCTTCAAAAGTTTGTCATAATGTCTTAAAAATCTTACATGAAAGAAGAAAAATATACATGCAAAACTTCGTGCAATTAAAGTAGTGCAGGGCAGTCAAAGCCATTTTCAGGATGGATTTGAAAAATCAATCAAATTGATAGTAAAAGTAAAGCATACTAGGTATGCCATAGTCAGAGCAGAACTTTAAGTCATTCTATTGAATTATAACCCTGCAGAAAAATTTTAGACTAATCATGCTTTAGCATGTTGCAAAAATCTGCAGGCATCACTATTTGACACATCAATTCATCATTAACATACACCATTGGTACCCCCACACTTCCAGAACAAATTAAAATTTGGGATATTTGTTGCAATTTGACGGAATGGCTCACAATCTGCCATAAATGATTTCAGTTCCTAGAATATACCCTATCATCATTAAAGATTTTTTAGAGTATGTTCAACATTTGCATGAATACAACAATTAACTAGACCAAATAGCTACCAAATACCACAGACTACAAAGGAAAAGGGATGTAGGCCACATCAAATTAAGCACCTAAGAGGCACGTTTTGTTAATTACTAATCAAGAAATTTTCATTCTACAAGCGAATAAAAATGACGCCATCCATGCACAATAAATTTGAACCTATCTTACATCTTGGAATAGATTTTAAGATAAATATTTAAATCAAGGATTTTGTTAATTACTAATCAAGAACTTTATACTCTACAGGAGAATAAGGGACTTTTTGGAGATTTGAGTTAAATCTTGACAAACGCAAAAAAACATCTTCTCAAATATTACGGTAAGTTAAATCCTAATTTCACGCAGTTTTCCACCTTTTCCCCTAAATCCCAGATTTAATAAATTATAAATATTAAAAATGGCATATTTACAAGATTTAACCGAAGAAGCGCAGTGAAAAATGTGAAAGATCGTTACCTTCGCAATGAGTTCCCGTCATGATTTCCAATCTAATAGGAACAACGTCGTCAAAAGAGGCAAAAAAGCTTTCCTTTAGCAACTCTTTCAAAACTCTGCTTCATGTAACCCAAGATAGCAATGAAGAAATGCAGAAATGGAGAAGAGAAAGATTAAACCCAAGATAGGCTTAAGGCTATAGGAAGAGTATAGACAAAGACCAAATAAAATACCAACTAACCTTTTTCTTCTTTAGTTTTTCAAGTTTTTGCCTCTTTTTTTTTTTTGTTTGTTTACAGGCTACAGCGATAGAATATCAGGGGAAAACGATAACTGGCTGATTGGATAACAAGGAAATTAATATTAATTAATTATAAAAGAAAATGTATGCAAATATCCATTAAATAAAATGTTTTTTAATTTCCTCAATTACTTAAATTTATAAAAGTCAAAAGTAAGCCCCTAAAATCCATGGGAAGTTTAAAAAAATATCATTACTATAATAATTTTACGATTGGGTCTTATATAATAATTTCAACAAAAAATTGGTAGTTCTAACACATGGAAGGAAAAAAAAAATATCCTAACTAAACATTAACTTAGGATGGCTCAGAGTGGTGCATCTACCATGTGCAAGGCTGTGTTTGTCATACTATTATTTGATATGTTGCTTCATTGTGAATTTAAGAATTTATTCTAGAGATGATTTCACTATTTGTGACTTGAAAACTTATGTACGCTTTTTAAAAGGTTTCATTTTTTTAAAGGGATATAAAAAAACCCATTGCATGTTTTGAAGATAAAATAATATAAGCATCTCACCTTTTGGGGTGAAATGATACATTATTATATCAATAAAAAAATTTATATTAACTTTATTTATTTAATAATATGTTTAATATTTTTTTAACATGATAAGAATTTGTTTAGTTTAGGTCAAGCAAATATGCCTTAGGGTTTTATTTAAGACTTGATGAAATTCACCTAATTTAATAAAACAAATTTCAAAAAAATAAGGCTCTTAAAGAGACCTACAAGTATTGATTTAATTTCAATTTAAGATGAAAGAGTAAGTTCACTTATTTTGGCTTAGAGAACTAAGAATTTGGGCAAAGATTGAAATCATCTATTTATTTGGGTTGAGTAAATGACCTTTGGCGTTGAGGTCAATAAGAATGAGATGATTTCTATTTGTTTAAATAAGAAAGGCTAACAGGATTTGATGCAGAGCTAAAGATAGATTCATTCACTTGTTTTGGATACAAGTAAATGAAAAGCAGTACATCAACAGCTTTGAGGCACATGAAACATGAAAAGAACCTTAAGGATTCAAGGCTAAGAATTTCTATAGCTTCCAAGGCTAAAAGGAAAAAAATATTATGTTGTTTTATTTCACATAATATGATTAAGGGATTTCCTTAAGTTGGGTTTAAGAAAATGCATTAGATATGATAATTTTGATCTCTAACTTCGATGTTTGAAACCAAAATAAATATCTTAGAACTTGGAATTTAAAGGATGAAGATCATTTGTTTGATTGGGTCAAATAATTAAAAGATATTGTGATTTGGTCCTATGCAAACTTCTAAGATTATTTATTGATTTTAGAGTGGAACAAATAAAGAGAATCTAGATTTTAGCTCTAGAGTATACTAACGCCACCTAAAATCCTTTAGAGATTAATTCGAAATCTCCAATTAGGACCCTGGAATGGCACTAGACTAAAGGACATATATGGAAGAAGTTCAGATTGGGTTTACTCAAATCCAACTAAAGCAAACCTGAGGCTTATCTAAGAGTGGTCTAGCTCCATAAAGGTCCTAATGCTATGAAATAAAATTTTAAAGTCAATAGGAGACTCTGAAATAAAACAATCAGAAGAGGGAAAATCCTTAGAGAATAATCCTATGTTGAAGAATATGTTTTAATTCATCAAAAAAGAAAAAACACACATATAGCTTAGAAAAAACTAGAGATTAATTTTAGCATAATTTGTCACAACCCATTTTGACTCCCTGCAATCAATTTAGAGTGTAATAGAGAAAGAGAATCTGAACAAACCTTCTTCTTACTTACCCCCATTCTAAAACACTGATATCATAATTAGATAAGTAAAAACTGGTATATTCAAACTATCCTAACATAGCTAATCATAACACATCAAGATTTTCATAATATGAAGCATATATAATATACCTCAAATAAAATGCACATCTCAATTGAAATATAGAGCTTTACTAAAGCCTTTAAAAATTACTTAATACCCAAAAGTCTATACAGCTATCACTCAAATCTCTTTGTACACCAAAAATGTATGTACATCAAAAAGGGCAATCACCTCTTTCAATCTAATGTTTTACTAACTCCTTCACCTTTACTGCAATACAACCACTGCTAATGAGCTAGGGCTCAATGAAATATGCAAGCAATGTATAAGAAATAATAATAACATTTTAACAATTAATTTAAAACAAATGAAAATTTCATACTGATAATAAAAAATACATAACATTGCTTTTTATCATGTTTACTGTTTAAACTTTTATACAAATTATGTGATTGCTATAAGCTTTTGCACGCTTTAAGCTTTCCAATTCAAAGTTGGTCTGAATTCCCAATCTTTAGAATTAAAGCTGCTCTCTCATTCACGGTTGGGACAGAATTCCTTACTTTTTGAAATTCGAGTGTAGGCTTATCTCGTTAGATTTTCGCCTTTAATTGTTCAGGTCTATCACCCATACATGACTTTTTACTTTTCTCATATCATTCACTTTCACAATTATATTGTGTGCTAATATAATCATTACTACTTAATGAATCAAAAAATATAATGAAATAAATACTATCATAACATAAAAAATATGAATTTGCAAATATATAAAATTTACTATTTCCTATGTATCATTTGGATATCGCACCTCATCATCAATTGGCTCTTCTACAATACTCTGCCTTCTTTTTCTTCTGTAAACAGCCTCAAATGCACTTTTTCTTAATTCAACCCAAAACCTTTCCCTTACCTCTGTTTCCTCATTCTCCCTTCCTTTCCTTAACAGATCTTAGCAACCCTTAGCCAGAAATATATAAGCCATATAGCAACACAAATCATGAATTAATTTCAGCTTTTCTTCTACTTTATCTTATTGATTTCAGCTAACAACTTCTGCAAACTAAATTTAACAAACATTACTTTCAGCACACCTAATTCAAATACCTGAATTCAGCAATTCCAGTGGCAATAGCACACCTAACAACATTACTTTCAACCCTTTTTTACTATTTTCTAAGACAATTTCTGAATTACAGCAAAAATACATTCATTTCCCAACTAATTTCATCATTTCCAACAAACTACAACTTATTATAACAAACAATAACCTACAATAACTTTAATATTCTCTATATCTTACCTTAATGTTGCTGATTACTTCCACTACAGCAGCCCTTCCGTCTCCAAGCTCACGGCCTGTTGTTCCCTCGACTGCCAGAAGCAAGGTGATGGGAAAAGAGGAAAAAAAAAAGGAAGTGCTAATGCTGAATAATGCTTTTTAACTTAAATTACATACTATTATAAATTGGCTGCACTTCCACTACTGAATTTTCTCAATTCATTCTCAGCCGCGGGATCTCATCCGGCTTCTGCATGTTAAAGGTAAGTGGGCTATAGTGGAAATCTTTCAGCAATAGATAATTTCCACTGAAATCCAACTAAATTTCCACTTAATTTAGTAATAGTAGTCGCAGACTTTAGTGGAAACAGTTAGACTTGATTTAAATTGAAATTCTGGGTATTATATAATCTATTTATATCATATGCACATATGAGCTGATTTTGTTTTTTAGAAATTTTCTATAGTGAATTAGGAATCTTTCAAGTCTCAAGCAACTAATTCTTTCATTTTAACTGCCCTAAATTTTCAAAAAATGCAAAAATGGATTTAAGTAATTCCAATC